AAAACAAAAAATTAAGATCAAAATTTATTTCGCTATATTATACGAATATTCTTTTATTAATAATAATATAACTATTGATGAATGTAATAATTACAAAATTACCTTGTTTTAATAAAAAAATATTTGACCATCAATTAATTACGAGGTAATGATAATTACTTTAAAAATAGATGAAGCTATATACAAAAAATAGAATCAGATCAGAATAGAACATCTGATATAAAATAAGTATTGATATTGATGTATGTGAATGAAAAATTAGTAGTTAGTGGTATATTTAGCAATATAGAGAGGTGTACTTAAACTAGAGTTGATCATTTGCGGGCTTGGGTCGAACCCGGACCGAGATTAACCTATTTTGTTTATCCAACAAGCCTAATATGGTAAAACCAAACCCGTTTTTACGGACAATGAAAAATTACCCATACTCGCCCTATAAACGGGCTGGGTTGTCCACGGGTTAACGGACTTAAAAATATTGTTATATTTTTATGAAAATAAAACTTATACAAAATCACAAGTTATGTAAAATAATTCAAATTACATAACAATTTTTCCAACTTAAAATTTGACGTAAATACATAACAATATATATACTTTAGAAATAAATTGTTTCGCTAAATATGAAATATTGATAAAGAAAATGACTAAATGAGATAATAACGAATAGATCAATTGAGGTAATTATATTTTCAAATTTAAGATTTTTAAATAATGTTATTATCATTATTCGTAATTAAATAAAACTGATAAGTATTAAGAATTTCAATTTTATTTCTAAAATTTTATTTCTAAAAGTTAATTATTATAAAAATACTAATCGGTCTGGCAGACCTGCTCAAATATTTTTTCCATTGTCCATGTCCGTCCATTAATTTTAATAAGTCAGTCTAGATTCGCCTATTTCTTCAAGAACGATAATCTAAACCCTCTTTTCTAACATGCCAGACATAAAGGGTCTAACGGACCATTCCACTCGTAAAGAGCTCCAATTTAAACCACCCTTAAATGCCTCTCCTTTTAACTTGATGGGAGGGGTTCACAGTGATGGACGGTTTGACTTCTAGAAATTTTATAGAGTGGCTGAGACAACCGTTTTGAACTGTTCATCAACCCATCCTTGTTTTTTTTCTTCTTATTGATATGATCTTCGTAGTTCCCATTTGCAATTGAATACAGGTTCTTATACATGAACTATTACCAATTTTGAAACAATCACGAGCTTAGAACAAGCGGTGATGATTGTAAAATGCGGAGACTATGAAATTAAGGATCAATCTCAGTAAATGTTCATTTTGTAGCAACGATATCAATCTTGACACTCGATATGAGATCGTAAATCGCAAATGTATAGGTAGAAAAAGATGAAATAGTAAACACTAAGTCGAGACCGTACTTGCAGTTTACTCGTAAATAGTTTATTTTATTTTTTCCAGTCCGTTGAGGGCTTTTGAAGTAAAAACTTGGGGAGAAATTCGTCTTTTGGGCCAGACTTGGGGTCTTGGATTGGGCCTTTTCAAGTTTTAATTTTATTTTAAAAGTTTCAATTATAATATTATTTTATAAGAATAATTAATATTTTAAATACGATTCAAACCACCACCACCTCTATCGTTACCACCTTAATTTGCATCTTTACCATTGTCGACCACAACCACCACCACCTCTATTTTTATCGCCTCCACCTCCACCACCTCCACATCCATCTTCACCACCGCAATTGACCACCTACTCCTCATCCTCCATAATCACCACTTTCGGTTGAAGTGTCACCACCGGTAACCATTATATCAGTCACCCCCATCTCCACCACCTTCATCACTATCGACCACATACCACCATCACATCGGCCACTGCCACCCCCATGACTATCAACCACCACCACCAGATTGGGCACTACCACCTCCACTTCCTTCACAAACCTCTATATCCCACTTCATTCTTTGCCACATCCGATCATTGACCACTGTCGGCACCACCTTCACCTCCATTGTCACTTTTAACAGTTTTTGTCATGTTCCGTTCAACTTGTCAAATACAATACAGGTAGCTTGCGTAAACTTATTATAGTCACATCAAACACCAAGCAGACAACTTGTACAGTCCAGTCAAGTCCTGCAATCATGTTTTGTCATGTTCATGCCTATCATGTATGCATACCAAACACATCAAACATATCTACTCTCATTTATAATTTTACAAAACACAAAAAAAAAAAAAAATTAAGCAATTATAACGAATACTTTGGATACGAATCTACTAAAAATGGATACAATAATATTTAGATTTTGTTGATTTCATAATTAGGATATTTATTTTTGTATTTAATAATATGTTAATTGTGTTCCCAACTAATTCCAAACGCACAAGCCCACCACCCTTGTGACCATCCTCGGCTCGTGGATCCAACAAATTCCAAATTCTAAATTAATTTAAGAATTATTTGTTTAATTCTTAATAGTTTAATTAAAAAGTAACCTTTAAATTACTAAGAGGTGAATTTTGTTTGACAAAAGAAAAGTCTATCTCTTAATAATTCTAAAACCCTCTGAATGATTTTGTATCATGAGTCTCCCTTAACCATTCAGCTCCATAATTTCATTGTAAACAATTATCAAACAATTATATTTCATTTTAAACTATATAATGAAAGTCTCTTAATCATTCCGACCACTTAACCATTCAGTTACAAACTATTTAGTAACTGTCAAACAACCTCTTAAATGTTTTTATCATGATATTAATATAACATTTAAATTTGTATTTTAATAATCGTTACAGAATATGTTCACCATTTAATTTATGACATATATATTGATTTAAAAGAGGAATCATCATTTAATAACAAGAAAAATAATGTAGTCATGAAAAGAAAATATGAATGAGTTAAGCCTAATTTTATGATGTGCCAAAATACATCCAATTAGGTTTGGTGATTTGTGAATCCATGCTCTGTCTTTTTATTTTTTAAATTTCTTGAACAATCAATATCACATTCTATTTTTTTTAAAACTGTAGTTTTTGTTAAAGATCATAAAATGTTAGACAATGATATAAAGAAACCTACAATCAACCAAGAGTCTTACCCGGTAACGATAAGTGAGAGCGATGACTCTTAACACGGTAAGCACTTACCGGGTAAACTGTTGCATACGATGTCGTTTTGATGGACTAAGATCTTACCGAGTAAGTAAATAATAGTGTTAGATTTTACTGGTAAGCACTTACCAGGTAAGTGTTTGGCAAACGGCCTCTTAGATTATTGATTTTTACCTGTAAACATTTGGATAAATGGACCATAAAATCTTTAATTTTATACCTTAACAATCCTAAAATATAACTAAATTTTTTTTTCCCAAAAATTAAATAAAAATGAAAATAAATTTGGCATTACATTCAATCGGATCAAAACTAATTGGGGGCTTGAGAAAATACGGGTGTAACTGACTCGTTGAGAAGCGACTACGCTGACTCTCCCTCTGACCATCTCTCTTCAATTATCTTCCTCCTTCACCTAATACGTTGGTAGCTCCCAACCGTCTCTGCAATTTCAACCTAGGGTTTTCCGTCACTTCCAACAATTACAAACAACAGATAATCTCCAATGGCTGTGGTCAAGGATGCGGAACAAGAATTCAAGCCGCCCAAGAAGAAAACATCTTCTGATGAGGATGATAAGAGGTTGTAGCACTTAGATTATGTGAATTTGATCTAGTGTGCTTTGTTTCTTACGATCGTGTATATATCATGTGTGAACTTCTGATTATTCATCATTTTGTTTAGGAGAAAGAAGATGATTCCGGGAGGCTTGATGAAGGCTGTGATTAGACCAGGAGGTGGTGATGCTACGCCTTCTGACGGTGATCAGGTTTTAAATTGACTCCTACTTGTACACTATGTTTGTGTAGCATTATGCTACTTGAAGTTAGTACATAGATATTTTAACTTTCAATTGATACCTCTAAGTGACACTAGTAGCATTCTATCCAGAAAACAGAGCCACACCTCTAGTTTCCTGGATGAACACGTAGTTGCTCTAAAGTACACGATAAAATCCATATGGATATTGTGTCTCTTTTGACACTGTATTATTTGTTAAGAAGTTAATGTATCATTTCAGTTGAAAGTTCAAAAGTTGTCAATTTCACCTGAAAAGGCAAATGGTATTCTAAATGGTTGGATAATTAAATCCAGTGTTTTTCAGTATTAGAGGAATATTTAGTAGTGTTTGAACTGCTTTCTTCATAAATCTGCTTTTTTTATGAGCCAAAGTATGTAAGGTAACAAGTGAAAGAGCACAGATTGACGAGGTTTTTTGTGCAGGTCATATATCATTCTACTGTCCGTACTCTAGATGGTGCGGTTGTTGAGTCTTCTCACTTGGAATTTGGTGGTGCGCTCGACTTTATGGCTCATTTTTCATCAAGTTTATGGTTCATTTATCCAATGACATTTTAGTGCTGTTGATCATTTGTGTAAATTGATTTGTTAGTATTGATGAAAATCATTTGAAGTGCATAATGTTTGCTTCCATTTTATGGGAAAATGAATTCACATGTACTTTGGATGTGGATGTAAACAATTATAGGCATAAGGCATCATAGTTCTGGTTCATTGAATTCCTATGATACTTCTGATATAAGCTGTCTTCAGATCAAGTTCTGTTTCCTTGAAGAATTTTGTAACAAAAAATCACTTATGTATTTTTCTCTAGCCATTGTATTTTATTCTACTAATGCTTTTTAGTTCTTCCTCTGCTTTTTTCTGTTTTTTAACAAATAATATGAGAATTTTATTTCCACTACCTTTATGTATTTATGGGGTTGTAGTTTCAGCCAACCACAAGAATCCAAGCAAAAAGGCTTCATGACATTTGGTTGGGTGTCAAATAGTGTAGTTACTGATTTTTGGGGACGTCTGGCTTTGTTCAAAATGTTCTAGTTGACACTCTACTTGAGTAATATTGTTTTATATGTTTTCAGTCTCTGTTTTCTTGTGGGTGTGTGATGTGCTCTTCTATTTCGTTATTATAGGCAAAGGCACCCCAATAAGGCAGGTTTTGGGTAAGAGCAAGATGATATTAGGGCTGCTAGAAGGAATCCCAACAATGTTGAAGGGTGAAATTGCAGTGGTAAGTATTTGGTAGTGGCAATGTATTAATGAATATGGTTTATATTGTATAATTTGTTGATGGAAGGGTCATTCCTTACATTGGGTGTGAACAAGTATACATACTTAGCAAAACTGATTTCTGAAGATATTAATGAATAACATTTTGAAACCAAGTAAAACATTAACTCATATATTATTGTTGTTAAGAAACCATGATATGAAGTAATAAAAACAGTATCTGCCATATATTTGCAAAATTAATAGTTAATATATGTTTGTGAAGATCCCATTTTATATATGCATCCTAAATCATGGGGTCAAGGCAGGCAGGATGGAGTAACTTCAGTTGATTCTGTCTGTGAGAACGAATTTTGCTATCTTTGTGTAAATGGGTAAGGGGAATGATATCAATGGTTCACATTGGCATTGGCTTTGCAGAACATATGACTTTCTGCTCAACTTCTACTTGTTTCTGAACTATATTTATCACTTGTTTGACGCCAGTGAAATACGAAGAACCTGAGAATATGTTTAACATTTTTTACATTGGTCAAATCTTATCATGTGCTTGAAGATCTAATTTCATGACGGGTTTCTATTGATCTTTAACACATGTTGTGGTACTAAACATTTCAGTTAAAGATGAAGCCGGAATTGCATTATGGCGAGGATGACTGTCCAGTTTCTGTTTCCGATAGCTTTCCGAAGGATGCGGAACTTAATTTTGAGATTGAGCTGATAGAGTTTTCAAAAATCAAGGCAAGAGCTACAAATCGTCTTTCATACACTAAATTGGCTTTATACAAATCTGACTTTGAAGTGACACTGCTATTTCAGCATGCACTTACAAGTTGTCAACATATAGAGCTGACATACCAATAAAAACCTTGATAGTTAAGAGATGTTCAAAAACTCTTATGTGAAGGACTTTGATTAAAGTTTTTACATTAGAGTGCTATTTTTACTGATGTGTACTTTTGAGGCATAAAGTAGCTAATGCTACTTATGTTAGGTTTAATGCTTTTTTTGTATATTTTATTGTACTTGATATCATAGCTCAGTTTTTTTGCTTTGTAAATATTCTTCAGGTTGTAACCGAAGATTTGGGAGTCTTGAAGAAGGTATGTATAACCATGAAAAAATTATCATGATTCTTCTGATAAACATGCAATTTACTTGCCAAGTCAATTCCCTTTTCTTATGGGAAGTGAATTGGGATTGCTTTTGCATCCGAAAGGCTGGGGCACAAAAAGAAGTCATATTTATCAAACTAAATTGACGCTGCCAAGGACTTGATAAACATGTAGTCCTTACTGTGCTTTTGGTTCATAATTTAAGAGAGTGAGGAAGCTTTTTCTTCCCTAATCTTCTTAGCTCTTTAATGGCAAGGGAGAATATTGATGGATAATATATTAGGAAGTTTTTGGCTTGTTATTTTGAGAATCCAACAGTTGAACTTGCTCAACTGCTTTTATTTACAAAAAGGAAATGTAGTACATGTGTTACCTTCTTCTGTTATATTACTTGTGGTTAGACCACTGTTCGTACAGTGAAAAGGAGGTTTGGATTTACAAAGTATGGTTAAACAGAAAATTGACTGAACTTGTAAAAGAAGTGAATCATTGATAGGAGCTGACCACAGGCATCTGATGGCAGTTGCATGAAAAGAAAATCAGTTGGTTTTCTAAGTTGGCATAAAATAATTCTTTTATTTGCTAACTTTTCTGATTCTTTTATCCCTTTATAATCTGAAATGCGTTCTTTTATAATTGTTAGGATGTGGTGAACCACAATCAAGGGGTTACCTACTTGTATAAAGGTGCCATTTGTGTGTCAGGATCAAACCTAATTTGACTACAAAGGATTTAATCCTTTATTTTGTTTTTCTAATGATGAATCTATCAATTCTTCGATGGGGTTTCCAGGCCAAAATCTCTAAATTGTGTTTTTAAATCATTTTCATTATTTGACTTCCTCCCAACATTCTTTTATAATTTTTTTATGTAATAACCAATCTCTTGTAGAAGTATTAATTTATTATGCCATTCACTGGACAGGTTTTACATGAGGCACAGAGTTGGGAAAACCCGCGAGATCTATATGAAGTTAAAGCCAGGTTCATTTGCTGTCATTTTTCTCCATCCCTTGATATCTTCTGTTTGTAGGAAATCTAATTGTTTGAGAAAATAGCTGCAACATTTATATACTTGTGGGATGTTGCTGATTATAGGATTTCTGCCAAGTCTGGGGATGGACAACCACTTCAATCACATATTACTGGCCAACCAATTCTCTTCACTTTTGGAAAATCTGAGGTTTCTTTATTGACATGCATTCCTGTTTGTTCAAAAAATTTATTGCTCTCTATCTTTCATTTTGTGCCTACTCTGCTTTGTTTGTCCAATAAGTTCCCCAATCCTCCTGCCATTTTTTGGTTTTTAGGAATATTTGATTTACTTGGCCTATATAAGTAGTGATCTAAGGTGCTAGGCTTGATGCATTAGCTGCAGTCTTTGCACAAAATAAGATAAACTAAGATTTCTGTATACTCGTTACAAAGTTCATTGTATTTCTATATCAGGTACCTAAAGGTCTTGAAATGGGTATAGGAACAATGTCACGGGGAGAGAAAGCAGTGATCTATGTTACAAGTCCATACTTAAGCCTAAACCCTCTTATACCTTCTGTAGAAGGTGTTGAAGAAGTTCACTTTGAAGTGGAACTCATTCATTTTATTCAGGTTTGGAAATGTATTTTCTTCATAACTATGTATATACTTTTTTTCCCTTGAATGCCATTTCTGGTGCAAATTTTTGTACTTGAGGATATTTGTTTTGACTAGCTCTAGGTAAAAGGCTTCTTGTCTAGTTGTCTTGGATGTTAACTTTCAGATTTTTCATTGTTAAGGGCATATTGATTTGGTACCTATTTATTGTTTGAATTCAACTTCAGCACGCTAAATTATTTTATTTTCCTGTATTCAACACTTACATTGAAGTCATATCCTAAAGCAACAGTTTATTGGTCTCGTATCTTCTCTATAGGTTTTTTTATTTATTCATTGTTAATAACAACAATAAACGAGGATGACATATATGTTGTGGCCATTTGTTAATATCTTTTAGAAGTAAACCAATTTAAAAGCTATAATTTTCCAAGACACGCTGCATGGCTCTGGATGTTTTTTCCGGAGTTGCTAGCCTCACTATTGGGGAATCATGTGAGGTTTTTATTAGCTATTCCAAGGGATGTGCATTCTTTTTAACTAAGAAGTGCCCCTACATTCTATTTTCTGTCACAGTACTTTCATTTCTTTCTTCTAATTAGAGAGAATGTTCCTGTTTATCATTGTACAGGTGCGGGATGTGCTAGGAGATGGCCGTCTAATAAAACGCCGCATTAAAGATGGCAAAGGTGCTGTTTCGTCCTTAAATTAACCTTTATATGACATTACATAATTACATCTTTGTCCTGGACTTATAGCGGTAATGATACATTTGATTCCTTATCAGTTAGCATTAAAACTTTTGGGCAATCTGTGATTTAACTATTTGATTTGTAATATACTCGGTCCAGATTAAATATCAACGAGTATATGTGATTGCATTGTTGTCTTTGAACTATATTGGTGATAACACGGAGTCACGGACAATTAGTACTCTTTAACTATTCAATCTGTAAACGTGATCCAAGATTCAATATCCAGCATTTTCAATCATGTGCTTTGCATGTTTTGGTCCTTAAGGGCAAAAACATCTAGCAGCACCTTCTTGATTTAACAAATTTAGGATTTCTACCATTTTTTCTTTTCTGTGAACTTGTTTCTATCTTTCTACTTAGATTATACACATTCAGTTTTATATAAACTTGATGCACAAACATCACACACTTCAAGTGATATCAATGACCTCTTTTTTTTCCGCACACATGGACGAATCTCTTGCACCAACATGCTTTGCATGTTTTGGTTCTTTTAGGGGAAAAACATCTACCATGGCAGCACCTCTTGATTTAACAAATTTAGTACTTATATCACTTTTTTTTCTTTTGTAAACTGTTTCCATCTCTTTATTTACATTATACAGATTCACGTGCTGCACAACCATCACACGCCTCTAGTGAGATCAGTGCCCACTCTCCTTCACACACATGGAGCGGATCTCTTGCACCAACCGTCCTCTCACTCATAGTTGCAGTGTTGCTTTATTGTCCTAGTGCTGAGCAACTACTGTCGTGGTCCTCACCTTGATGTGTTTAATAGCAGTTGCCTTGTGATTCTTAGTGATATCGTGCCTGCTCTTGGTCAAAATGGCGGATTTATAATGTCGTCGTAAGAAAAAATTTACCCCAATTAAAAAGTGAAATGGAGAAACTAATAGCCGCTTGTCTAAGTCAATTTCATAACTCAGCTTAAATTTCCATTCAATTGTGTTACAAAGAGTGATCATTGAGATGAACTAGAAGATGAGTTCTTATTGGACACAACTTAGGAAACTCGAAAGTCGCATCCAACAGTGGGATATATATCGTCTTCTCTCATCATCCAAAGAGCATGTCTACTCTATTCTCATCAGCTGAGGATGCAACTTTTTTTATTCTTTCTGCAGTCCTTTTTTCTTTCTTTTCTCTGTTGGAGCAATATACATAAACATAACATGTGCATTTAGGTGCCTCAAAATAGGTCCCCATGGGTTGATTCCAAGAATTTATGTATTTCTACAGCTGCTAAGCTTTTTATACTAACATATAACTTTTAGAGGACCTTATGGTGTTAGTGATACACAATTAATGTCACACTGATGTACACCTTGTTGGTTAAGTTAACTTCAAATACTGCAATTTGCACATTAACCTTTTTGATGTTATAGCAAAGTTTTCTGCATGGTATTTATCCTCAGATAATCTTTTGCTTACTATTGTACTGCTTTATTTGAATATTATGTGTATGCTGTTTTTAATTCTTGTCTGCCATCATTTATCAGCTTCATCATAAGCCATCTGATTTTAGTGGCCATCTTTTTAGCATGTGATGCTATTTGTGCTTCTTGTTCTTCTTGAAACTATTAGGTGAATTTCCTATGGATTGCCCTCTTCAAGACAGTCGACTGCGTGTGCATTACAAGGGCATGCTTATAGATGAAGAAAAGACGGTTTTCTATGATACAAGAGTTGATAATCATGGTCAACCGTTGGAGTTTTCATCAGGGGAAGGGCTTGTAAGTTAATATAATTTTGAATGAAAATTTGATTGCTTCCTGTTTTTAGTTGTCATTAGACTGTTTTTTTCCATCACCAATTATCCATTCCCTCAAAAAGTAGATGGTGATTTCTAAAGCCTAGCCAATTTTTGGTGTCTCAAGTTGTTTATTTGGGAAATTAGTTATGTGGAATTTACCTTGTTCAAAATTGAATAGGTTTATTTAATATAATTTTTATCATGATATAAACTAGCGAATTAAAAACATTACAAGGGTTTTATGCATGGATTTATCAAGGAAGTACTACTAAATTAGTTCATCAATTGACATATTGTGTTAAACCATTAACTCATCTAAAATTTTAAGCTTGTAAATGGAGAGACCAACAATTATATATAGAGAAATTGCAATTAAATATGCCTACACACAAGTAGACTCTAAGAACATGACGAGGGTACAATGTGAATTCATCAAGGAATTAGATTTACTGAACTTTTTATTTAGCCTCCTAATTTGGCAAAATCTAGTCGCTTAATAATCTCTTTCATTATCTCTTCTAGTCTTCTCTTGGTTTTGCCATGTCATAATCTTCTTGTTAGGAGGATGAGCTATTAGATTACTAAATTAATTCATCAATGGACACTTTTATGTTTTTAAAGCTGCTTATGGAAATTTCATCTACCCCGGCAGTGTATGCAAAATGATTACATGTAAACATTTCTTTGTTTATGTTGAACTATCAACCTGCCTAAAATTCTAAGCATGTAAATGTATTATATGTAGTTTTGACACTCTCCTACACGTGCCCCGTCACGCCGTCACACATGGAGAGTCATATAAAGAGCACTGAAAAGCCCCACAGTGTGCAAACTGAACAATTAATATGAAGATGGCTTAATCCTGAGACCTTGCTTAAATTTAAGCTATAGTACCATGTTAAAGTATCAACTTATCTGAATGGATAAGGCGAATTTGTTGTATCTAGCTTCAGCAGTTCACCTTTCTATTTGACAAGTCTACCATACTTGTTTAATGTCCAACATAAAGATGTCTGTTTTCATATCATTCTGTTTCTTATTTGGAAGATAATATATTCAAGAGCTTTTCTTTTGAATGGTAGGTACCTGAAGGTTTTGAGATGTGTGTTCGATTGATGTTGCCTGAAGAGATATCACTTGTTACCTGCCCCCCTGATTATGCATATGACAAGTTTACCAGGTTATTTTCAGTTGTCTCTTTATTTAGTACAGTTTACCATGCAAATAAGGAACTTGTTGAAATAGGCTACTGCCATAAACTTCTTTCATTATATACATTTATGAGAATAAATAATCATGATGTTTGCTTGATTATTTGTTTTTCTTCTTTATTCTGTGACTAGGCCAGCTAATGTTCCTGAAGGTGCTCATGTTCAATGGGAGATTGAGCTGCTTGGTTTTGAAATGCAAAAGGTAAACCAATTTATAGTATTACATGCCTGAATCAGAAGTGAGGATATGCTAACCTTTTCTAGTTATAGTTGGATTCTTGTGGTATGCAAAAATTCAGTTGTATGTGCATCTAAGCTATTGATTGATGAATTAGATATGCAAGAGGTCACATATCCCTAACATAACTACTAACTCCAAAAAGGCGATGAGAATAGGGTAAACCCCGATGATAATATTGTCTTTGGATGTCAGGTCTTATGGTTAGTATCATTGTTGTATTTGGTTATATATGTAAGTTTGCTGAATGCTTACTTGATGTTCTCATGTCGATCTATGCTGGTTATTTGACTATACTAATGGTCTCTGCTGCAGGACTGGACTGGCATGGACTTTAGAGCTATTATGGATGATGTTGAGAAGACCAAAGGCACGGTATATATTTGTTATTTTTGGATCTGATATTGATGTCTACTTTGGTATTTTGTATCTTGGATCAGGGGGAGAAGAGTTGACTAAGGGTACACTTTGATTGAAATTGGAACTAGATACCTGACATATAACGTAGAAAACATAGAAAATGCAGAAATGCAGAATTTCATTAAATTTATGTTGAAAACTAAGGACGTCTCGTGCTTCACACCTAAACGGTTGCAAGTTTTCACAAGGATGGAGGATCAAATGGCTTGATGAGAGAGAGTTTGCAACTGTCATATGCATTCAACAGCAGAAAGATCCTGATTGGAGAAGAAGAAGACATAAAAAATGAATTTCTAATATATAATATAAACTATTTTTAGAATAATTACATCCTATTGAACATAATATACTGCGTGAACACTAATATATAGAACACTTCATCTGTTTGCTAAAAAGGACATGTCAGAACCATGGAAACAGGTTTTATTAATTGTTATTGCAATTTATGGAAAAGATAGATATGCCACCATGCAGTTGGTTGCATTTTTACCAAAATACAAAAATTACCGGTTTTTTGAAGTTCAGATCTTTAGTTGGTCTAAGTCAGTACCTTGCTAACTTTGTTGAAGTGTGAATACCACCAGTGTTCCAGAAACTATTAATAAAGTTTTATTGAAGTGCACAAACTATTTGTGCAGTTTGCTTAGTTTTGCTGGAATGGGAACATTAATGAAAAAATGTCAGCATTTGATGTTCAAGTGATGGACGATAATATATTTAGCAATATAGGACATGCTTTTTTCATTTTCATGTTATCTTTTCTTTTGACTGTTTTGCGATGGTGGGTGGCCACTAGGACCTATCGTTTTACGGCACCTGTATATATGACTAAAATTGGAAATGTTGTAAATAACTAGATGTCAACATGTAGAAAGATATACTGTTAGGGTAAGTTATTCACAAGGTCCTGTTTCTTATACAGGGTAACAGGCTATTCAAAGAAGGAAAATTTGCACTTGCCAAAGCAAAGTACGAGAAGGTAAAAACACAGGACCATTATTACATTATAGTTAAAGACAATGGCAGCATGTCTAATGCTTGCATAGTTTGTTGTTACTACATTAGAGTTGGCATCATGGTGAGCCTGTTCTATACCCTGAAACCCTAGAAAGAAGCCTTCTTTTGCATACACTTCAATATCATTTAGGTGCTTTGTAATGAATATCAGCCATAGTGGTAGGCAGGAGTTATTCTTCTGCACAAAAGCAAATTTGAGAGGATTGACCAGCAAATTTACCTACTTGTTCTCACTTCTATTTCTTGGTTTCAAGTTATGTCTTCTGCATTAAACAACCTTTAATACTACGGAACTATTATTTTATTATTCCGAATAATGAGTTCAAGAATTGTTGTATTATTATCATATCCTTACTATTTTTCTATCTACAAATTATGGGATTAGAATTTAGTTGACTGTTTGCTATCTCTCTTTAGTAATAAAATTTTAGGTAACTGTTTGTTATCTCCTTATAATATTAATTTGCTACTTCACAAAAATCAAGCAAACAAATAAGGATTGTAAATACTGAACCTTTAAAATATCACTTGGGTTCTTTTCACATCAAAGCAAATTATTTTTGTTGAAAATCATTAGTGTCTAAACAACGTTTGAGATAGTCACCAGATTTCCATCAGACCATCAGCTTGAACATGTACAGTAACAGAATCACTATTTTGTACATCAAATGGGAAGAAAAAGGAGCATTTTCTTTGAATCCCATGCAGGACTAAGGAATATCTTCCCATTGATTTGTCAACCATTGTTTAGATTATGGAAGTTTTCAGTTCCCTCCATGAAAAATAAAAAGATAAGATGACAATACTTGTTGCCTCAGTCGGTGTGTAACAAACAGTAGTTCTGATGGCACCTTGATATCAGGCAGATACTACCAATGGCTAGCCAACTCCATCTGTTATAGATTTTGACTCTGGTAATGTGTGGGTATTGATCTATGACTAAGGTGCTCCCAATCATCACCTTCTTTCTGCTAAAAACTCAAGCAACAGAAACACCAACGTATTATGAAATTGACGTTTTGGCTTGCTTGGTATTATGTGCTAGACATGAATGTTCCACTCTTACAGGTAATTAAATTATTCCTCATTATTTGTGTCTGTTTATAAGTGCTGAAAAAAGTACATAGTAGTTCATGTATTTATTTTGCCTGAAAGCCCTATTATCAATCTACCATCCATATTTTCTATCACCATTGTAACATTTTTATGCGAGTATGAAATATTTATGAAGGCATGGGGGCTGTTATGAAAATATGGTCTTCTGTATTATTGTTTAGTTCTTGGTTGTAATGTGAAATGCTTATGCATCTTGTTGCAGGTTCTACGCGAATTCAATCATGTCAATCCACAAGATGACGAGGAGGGAAAAGAGTTTGGGAATACAAGAGTATGAGGCCTTATATTCCTCACGATGTTCTGTGACTGATTTGAACTTTTTAATTTTTATTTATGAAGACATGATATACGTCTTAAGACTATTAAGTAGTTATGTTTAGCACACAATCTTAACCAGACTGGCAGTGATAGCATTGTACTAATTTTCTGTTGATTTCACGTTTTGGTGCCAAAAGAATCTGTTGAATCTGAATGTGGCTGCCTGCTACCTGAAGATGGGGGATTGTCGAAAGTCAATCGAGACATGTAATAAAGTAAGTTCTTAAATTTTAGATTTCGTGTTTTCTTTCTATGATCTCATGCGCCCACAAGATGAGCAGATTACAGGCAATGTTCTACCAGAAAAGCCATTTAGGTATCATAATATTTCTTTGATTTCTTCTGTTACATCATCTACCTAGAGAAATTAAGGAATGGAACATTTTCCCATTGTCTCTGTTTATTTTGGATTACTTTGGGTCTCCACACTTTGGCATGCAAGATGGAAGTTTCCTATTAGAAGTTATGAACTTATGATGGCAAAATCTTTTTTTTATGTTTGACATAGTTAGCAAAGGAAAGGGACCTTTTTGCTCTGAAAATATTGTTAAACTTGAAACAGTTTTATGCAAACTTGCTTGTTACATTAGTATGACAACCTTGAATGTTGCAATGAATTATATTCGGGTGAATTCCATCTAAGAAGCGAGAAACAGAACAGGAATTCGTTGACTGATTAGTGTTTGTTCTTTTAGTTTCTAGTGGTATTTCTTTGAGTCACCGATCAGTTAGGATGATCAATTGGCTCTTGATTCAACTCCATATACATAGGCCGAAGTGCCAGATTTTGTGCTCATATGACAGTTGAAGTACACATAACCGCTTTCAGTAAGCTTTTATTAATGAAAATACAACAGGTTCTTGATGGTAACAATCTTAAATCAAATATTAGCACTTGGGGACTGGCTGATCTTTTCTTCTGGTGGGTTTTTGGAGATGTCAAGAAGCTAATTTCACTTTATCATGGTTTAGCCCGTTTTAGAGTTTAACGTTATTTCGTTTTAAATATATATTTCTTGATACCTTGTGGTCCTTGATATTGAGGAAAAGTAACTAAAGGAACCTGCACGATTGTTTTTTATATGTGCAGGTATTAGATGCAAATCCTGTTCATGTGAAAGCGCTTTATAGACGAGGAATGGCTTACATGGCGGCTGGCGATTTTGAGGAAGCAAGGAGAGATTTTAACAAGGTAAGTTTTTAAGCCAAGTTGATTGACTATAAGATTTGATTGAAATGTTTGATGGGACTGTGAAATGACCATTTTCCATGTTGCTTAAAAATAGATGATGACCATTGACAAATCATCCGAAGTCAATGCAAAGGCAGCTCTTCTTAAATTGAAGCAGACAGAGCAGGTTAGTTTGAAATATGTACTCTCTCCATTATTAATTGCAATAATTGACCTGCATGCACATTAATAAACATTTTGACCACTAGTCAAGAGAGAAAAGCATATTTTCATAGTAATGTTGCAGTTAAGTAATTTTGACTAACAAAAACAGAATCTATTGCTTATGCGTATATGTATTGTTTGACACGTCATATTTTATTTTTGGCCGATTTTACTGGAAGCATAATTAGAGAAGACAGATGAATGTATTTGTATTATTGGCTAAAAAGCGCTTTGCGCGTCCGACCTAGTTAAAGAAAGAGAAGTAGAGGTGCCACCTGAAGTAAAGAAAAACCCTCATCTACCAAAAGTTCTAGATCACTTGACGTAGGACTACCATAAGAGTATCAATTAAAGCTGCAAAGTTCTATGGATTATTGTGGTAGAATAGAGTTGTAATTTGCTAGTTAAGCTTATATGTGCACATTGTCCCCCGATATTTCTTTGCCCTCTGTTGGCCAAACCACCTGGGTACTAGGCCCGATGTCAGTCTGATCGTTTAGGCATGCTTCATAATTGTAAATACATGCCACTCGGGCAAAGAAAGATGGTGGAGGGTTGACCGAAAAGCCCAGCAAATACCTTTTGGGAGATCTATTAAATTGACAATGACTGATGGGGGGTTTGTCTGTCTTTTTTTTTTCTTTCTTTTCTGTAATCACCTCTTGTTATGAAAGCCTTGTAGACCAAAATCAGGTATAGGCAAACAGTTAAAAAATTTATTTTCGATTTTTGTCACAAAGAAAATATCGAAATTTATATGAGATGAGGTGTCCCAAACAGAAATTTTGAGGAAAAAAGTTATTTAGGCTGCATAAGTCCAAACAATTGTCTGAACAATCATATCTGCTACATGATAACAGGAAGTAGAGAAGAAAGCTCGGAAGCAGTTTAAAGGACTATTTGACAAGAAGCCTGGGGAAATATCAGAGGTTGGTGTAGATGATAAAGGAAAAGAGACTATGACGGAAAATGATGATGATGATGCACAGGAACCCTTCATTTCTAGCCAGGAAGAGAAGGATGGTGATGGAGATGCACCACAGGCTCCAGGTCCTGCTCGTATGGGGTCTTTTTCGCAATTGTTGACCAGTGGTATGAATCTATTCAAGTCTCTTGGGGTGAACAGATGTGCTATATTGTAAAGAAAATATTTTCAAAACCCGAAACAAGTGTGGGTTATAATACTACGCTACATAACGAAAAATAGTTAGCAATATGCCACAGGAATCACAAGTACTGGTTTGTCCTAAAGGAGGCAGGCACTAACTAGTAAGAACCCTTTTTCTGGAGTTAGAATGGCCAGAACATTTTTACTGGCATCCTCTTTTGTCTTCTGCAAATGAATGCATGTGTTGGATGTTTTGTTTCTTGGGCAAATCAGGGTGAGATTGAGCAATAATGCTATATATGAAAATTGGTAATTGGATTATACCAAGATAGCAATGTTTCAGGATTTAAGAGGCTTTGATGGCAAAATGTTTGTACTGTCAATGGTGGCATTAATTTGGGTGTTCTTGTTCTTTTGTAAGATTTTTTGTTGAAAGAATTAATTTGGGTGTTCATTTGGTGACATCAATGGTTTAACAAATTCCGTGATTCATGTTGGATCTATTGTTCTAGAACAAGTGCTAGATGCTAACCTTCAAAATCTAAATAAGCCTCTTGCATTCAGTTCAGTCCAAGTATAAGATAGGTTCCGAGTTTGATCGCGAGCCAAAAAGTATTCCTTCACATTAGTGTCCTTGGAGGCAAGTTTCGTGTGAAGCCGTTTGAGATTGTTGGTGATTGCTTTTTGTCCAAATATATTTTAAATCATGAAAAATGTAATTTGTCATTCAATGTGTAAACACTTGTTCACTTAGAGGGATAAAATGATAACTAGTTTTGAGTAAATCATGTTTTTGTATATGTGTTTTGTTAAAAATTATGATTTTCATTCTTGTGGTTTAGAAATTTTGGTTTTTGTCTCTATATTTTGTAATTTATTGTTATTTTTGTCTTTATAATTTACAATTTATTGTTGTTTTGGTTCTTACAGTTTATAATTCTTTATTTTTATAGTCTATGTGGTTTATAATTCTTTATTGTTTGGTCTTTTTTACTTAAAAGTAGAAATTAATCCAGAAACGAAAATCGTAATTTCTAAACCATGAAAACGAAAATAGAAATTATTAATAAACCATAGGGATGAAAATCGTACTAAATTCCGAAACTTGATGAGCTACAATTTTTCAAGCCGATGCTTACTAGTCAAGCCTCTCACTTCATTAGCGGTTACTCAAAACTGTTGGTAAACAGGGGTTAGGTTCAAACAGTAATTTATAAAACATTAGGGGTTCCTTATAGAAAAAGATTGTGTCCTTAATACGAAGAATCAAAAGTTTAGGGACGGGGATTGCCAAACCGCGAAACTACTTCCAAAAACACGCGGATCCTTATTGGAACTGACGCGTATATTAAACCCGACTATAAAATATTGACCGGTTTTACCCATACGGATCAATTTCTCAACCCGGCGCAACAACCCCAACGTCAATTTCTTTCTTCTCTCCGTCAACCTTCTACGAAAAACGTTGATCAGGAGCATCACGAAGCCATTTCCACTCCTGATTCAGGGTTCTATCCATCAAAGTTCTTCAGTCATATCGCTTACTGTTGTTCAACTACTAGACCAGCTCACGTCGCATCGAAACAAGGTAGTTTGAAGCAAATTGATAGGTTAGATTGTAACCTGTGAATCGATAGATTATGATTTCAGTACTTTGTATTATACAGGTTTGGTATACTTTATTGTGAATATACGGATTCGATTGCAAAATTGTACGATGATTTGTAGACTGTATTCAATATTCCATTTAATCAACTGCACTTCTACTGTAGTTCTGAGTCCTGATTTTACTGTTCCTCTGATTTCAATATGCTGATGTTTTAGATCAAATTCCCCTACCATTACGGTATGCATTTTAAGATTATGGTTCTGACTGTAGTAATCTTCTGGTCACCATAACGATACCATTCAGTTTAAATCTGACATAGATTCACCAACTTAAACAGTAGCAGAATGATACTGAAGCGTTAAAGTTCAATGCATTACCTGGAACAGACGAATTCATGATGAATATCGTAGATGTTCATGTTTCACTCTCTGCTTACAGCTCCCATATCTCCAATTTTTTGTGTGCATATTTGTTAGATTTGCTGCGTGAATAATTTGCTTATATATGAACTGATGAAATACAACCGATTTCCCCTTGGCTTTGATGGATGAAAAATCACAATCATGACTTGAATATCAAACTCTATCCATCTGTTGTTGCTTCTATTGTACAGTTAAGGAAATTGACAAAGCTTACTCTTGAACTTCTGAGATTTCACATTAAACACCAATTACAATTGGCTTGTTCATTCCAAAAGAAACTAGGGATGTTATCGTATAATTTGTATTACGAAATGAGTTCTCAACATGTATTGTTTTAGATGTACAATACATTTAACTTAATTGTATATGTGGGTTTGTGTCACATTGACTCATGATTATTGGATTGAAAGGTGTTAGATGAAACTTCCCACAGAACACTTTTTGGACCCGCAACTCCATAACCTTTGAATTGTTTCTTTTGATGCAGTTTCCTTAACAAGTTCAATCACAATAGGAATCAATGGATAGCATTGTAGATGCTTTGAACAATGCGTATCAAGAATTTGTGGGTGCAGTAGCTAGCACACTTGAAGCCAAGGAAGCCTCGGGTGGTCAGGTTACTGTTGCCACAGATGCTGCCCTGGAGAACCTCAAGCAGAAGTGGGAATTGTTTCGAGTGGCCTGTGATCAGGCTGAGGAGTTTGTAGAGTCTGTGAAACTGAGAATAGGTTCTGAATGCTTGGTGGATGAGGCCACTGGCTCGGTTGCCGGGAAGCCAGGGCAATCCGTCACACCTGGCCTTCCACCTATTAGTGCGGTCCGATTGGAACAGATGAGTAAAGCTGTCCGCTGGCTAGTAATTGAACTTCAACAAGGTTCAGGATCTGCAGGCAACTTATCAATGCCCCAACACTCTTCTGCACCTTTTGATGCTCGGTTTCATGAAGATTCAGCTCAATAGGTACTTCAACAAATGGTCACCCTTTTCTGTGTTTATTTGTTCTCCCCAAAATTAAAGTTTCACTTTCAACTGTTGTCTAGATCCCATTGTAATTACTGTTTCCCAGATTATAGACCGATACGGGTTACTTCGCCTTTTAAGGGCGACACATACGCTTGATATTGCTTTCCCAGGTTATGTAGTGTAATGTTATAGTTTTAAGCTCTTAACTCTAGACCATATTTTATAATTCATATATTATCGATGCTTATATATTTGCGGCGGGTTGGATTGGGCTGAACTGTCCTTAACCCCGTTTCAACCCTATAAATTGACGGTTTGGCATGATGCGTTTAATCGGGTTATTTGCGGTTTGGTCAGGTTATCGGGTGACCCTAGTATGCATTTAACGTATGCTTGTTTGAAAACTCTAATTAGATTATTTTAAGGAATTGATTATAATACAAGATTAATATGTTGAAACCAAAATCCATCATCCAAAGACCAAACCAAATTGTACGATTTGATTCAAGTTTTCATTCATCTCCGTCATCTGAAGATTGAAAGATGCACGGAGTTGATGCCAGAGGAATTCAAACATCGCAATCATCATACAGGATCCGTTCGAGATTTACGAGCCGCCTTTGAAATCACCCGATACTTGACTACAAAACACCCGATAACATGTCCAGCCACCACGAAAACAAAAACACCAACGTTATACGACATCACACACAACATAATAAGGTAAACAAGAGCCATCCGGAACCCATAAAACAAAGCATGAATCAGTCCACCGACAAACGGACTACTCCCCGGCTTGATGACCGGAAAAATCGACAAGAACTCGACGATAACCGCAAGCAAAAAGACAAAGGCTAAAGCCAATATGTACATACCTAGTTGCCCATTCGGCCAGCCATTGAATAACATGACTACATCTTTGCTCCAGAAGAAAGCCATGTGCATGGCCATGCCATTGCCATCCATGGTGTCATGAGACATGTTCTTTATGTATTGTGGAGGATATCAGGAATCAAGTGTTTAGTGGAACTTGGGTTGTGTTTATAAAGGAAAGAAAACCAATGGAATAGGAAGTCTTAATCATTTAAATAACTTCACTATGTTTTTTGTTCCGGTTAAATCGTCTTAGTGGAAAGGGGGTGAAGTTTCCGTAAAGTCTGTGACAGTGGCAGATCTAGAAACGTAAGTGATTCCGGGGGACACATAAGACTGATAAGAGTGTCAAAGAAATCTGAAAGCAAATAACCCCTCCGAATCGAATGAGATTCGGGTTATCGATTTTCGGATTTGAATGATCCGTTTAGCCAAATCATGATGCCTTATTTGGTTTGTTTTTTTTCACTATTTTGATTAAACCAAATAACAGAATTAGGTAATATGTTACTGGCAGAGATACTAGAAAATTTTGAGAGAAAAAAAACGAGAAAACCTGATTAATATCATAGAAAACCCATTTCAAACTAGAGATTTTACAAAAATAAAACAAGAAACCACAATTAACGAAGCCCTTAATAATTAGGATTATGTGTATAAGTAAAAAATAATTGGGTTTGACTGAAGCCTTATTATTAAGCATCTGAATCATGAATTGTATTCTTATAAGTTATGGCTCATCAATCAATTGATTTATCTTTATGAAATAACTGTAAAAGGAAAAGGTCCTTGCTCCACCACAACCAGATGCTCCAAGCGCCCCCACTTCTCACAACGTTAGTCCGCCCCCGATCTCGGATTCAAATACATCCTCACCTAGTGGCGGGTCCAAAAACTTTTATAGTTGGGGGAACACTTAGGGGTGTAGAATTTCTTTTTCAAAACCAAATAATTCATCCGGATGAAAACAGTTTTGGGTTTTCTTTTTTGGCTTAAACGGTTCAGCTAACCGAATAATGATAACTTATTCAGGTCGATCTTCATTTGACTTTTTACAAATTCATCAAGGTGCATAATTTTTATATTTTATATTTCGAACGATAATATCAGTGTATGCTGCAAGTTGACCAATTAACAACAGAATATCAAGTTGGCGACCCTTGCCTTGTTTTTGTTTTTTCACACAATAGGAAAATTTACTAAACAAATCTTTTTGTAGCCTTTTAAAAAAAATATTGGTGGGTTTGTTGGGAGCCTAGGACCCCCACCACCATGCAGTAGATCCGCCCCTGTCCTCACCCATCCTGTTTTAGGACATCGCTAATTTACCTTTCTATAATAGTCGTGTGAAACTTGTAGAAGAGAAAACCGAACTCTTCTTTTCCACAACTTGAGTTGGGTTGTTATTTGATAATAGTGGTTTGTGATATCAACGTGAAAAAGGGGTAGGATGGTAGTGCTTTTTTAGGTCAAGTTTGCACTTAGAGAAACTAAAGGTGGTTACAAAGCAAAAGTGATGATGTCGATATACCATTTTCATCTCTTAAAGCTTAATCAAAAAGACATATTAGATTCATGTGGTCAAAAAATAAAGATCAGTCATAGGTTGGTCCAAAGAACGAGAGTCGGCTTCCTTAAGCGTAACACCTCCATTCCAAAGGAAGGGAGATTGCTTTAAAACGTAACAGAACCGCTATACAAATCTTGTCTCCAATACAAAGAAATAAAATAAAATCTTCCAATAACGAAATTGAATATATCTACAAATAAGATATAAAGGTCTCCAAACAAACCACTTCCAAAATCCTCCAACAACCGAGGAAAATCCAAAAGCAACTCTTAAAGGAAATCTAATCTAATAGCCAAAAAGGAACAAAATCCAATAAATGAATTAACATAACATTAAACCTCTTGAAATCCTTGGAACCAAGATCCTTGTCTACTCTTTGTCACAAAACCTAGCCTCCCCTTGATTACCTGCCGTGAGGAATAGAAGAAAACACGGCTGAGCCAAATGCCCAGTGAACGGATAAACAAATATAGAAAAACGGTAATACAAACATGCCAAAATTATCTCAAGACATCGAACCAAAAGAGTACCAAAATCTTAGAAAATCAACAAATAACATAATCATACAAAATCATATGAAGGGACAAATCGAGCTCGAAAACGCATACACTTGCATATTAACTAACATGACAAGTGTCAGACATATGGCCACACAGGCCTGTACGTTGGACTGCAGATCCACACGTACCAAATGTGAGATGTGGCATTGGACACTACACCGACATCCACCCTACAAACGAATCACAAGTGCTAGGGCCGACCCATACGCCTCCTAAATCTAATATCCAACACATCAAAATAGCTCTCAAAAGAGCACAAAAGAGGAGACGTCGTGGACTGATCACACTGCCACGGTTAGTGTCACGCCATCGGTGCCACAATGACGTGCCTATGGTACCCCATAGGTGGTTAGTAGCTCGAGTTACCCAGAGTTGAGTTATCACAACGAATGTGACGTTATACGTCTTACATAAGGTCAATAAATAACGAAGTCAAACATAAGTCAAGTAAGGAATTATGTTGAATAAACAAATAGTCATAATATAAAGAGGCTCAATTCGAAGAATACATAATCGATCAAAAGTACCAACATATGTACTTTTTGAGGTAAAAATAATACCAAAATATTACCGAACAAATAAACATATTATTTTGGAAAAAACACATACTTGTACCAACATTGACTCACTTAAATAATATGATTAGAAAGTGGTTTTCTTACGATATGTATGACATAGAACAATTGCATGTGAATGGAAATGCGGTACAAAAAGAATATCAATAATTGTGAGTCAATTAATCCGAGTTGAGAGAAAGCTTAAGGGCTCGTAAACAAATATAAACGAATCAAATGAATGAATGGAATTAAGAATCCGTACCTTAAACTTCACAAAACTTATCGATTCCCCAAGTTTATTCCTTTATATATGCCCTAAACAAACACCCAAACTTACTATTAATCCTAACTGATAACTTGATGGCATAATAAAACTAAATCACTTTAACGACTAATATTGTAACTAAACTCAACTAAATCCTATCAATATATATATATTCATACTATGCAAACCACATAAGATCAAATTCGAGAGAAAAACGAGAAGAATTTTTGGGTTTTAAAGACGATTTTGACAAACCCTTAGTTGCTGCCATTATGATTGACCGAATCGGTGACCTTCGAGTCATCAGAACAATCCCAAAATTTATAACCCATTTACTAAATGTATAGATTCGAGAATGGGACAAAACTTACCTCAAACTGACAAGAATCGGTGAAACCTTGCTTGCTTTTGTCCATGGGGTTCCCTTCTAGGTTATCAATGGACTCTTCCAAGCTTTTAGGGTTTCTCTCTAGCGATTATCACAATTAGAGGAATTAGGGTTAGGTTTATATAAGAATTAGGGTTAGGTTAAATAAGGATTCGGTTTATATATAAGAAAAAAAACCTAATTTATGAAAACCCTAATCTAAATACAAAAGTTCAAGCCCAAGCCCATCATCCAAATTGCAAAGTTAAAGCGATTTATGCAGAACTAACCCCTCAAGATTGGTCAACTTCCTAAACTAACCCAAACTTCAATATATATATATATATATATATATATTTTAAACATGCACTGATATATATATATATATACACACACACATATCTGACGGGTATTATAATAAGTTCGTTGTTCCTCAGTAGCTTAGTCGTAGAGCGGTTGGCTGTTAACTGATTGGTCGTAGGTTCAAATCCCAAAGAATTTAGAGTTCTCGCTTTTCTGACCTAGCGCCCCCTGTCCTTCTCCTTAGTTTCTAAACTAGCAGAATCGCAGGACATCAAAAGTGGGAAGTTTCTTGTTGGTTTTAGTCAAAGGGCCTTTGGTCCAACGATATTCAATAACCCAATATTTTTAAAGGTAAAATGTTCCAATTTCATTAAAGATAGAGAATGCATATGGTTTCATTTACCGTATATAAATATTATAAGATACAGTAAAATCTTATAACTGTTTATCACTTAAAAGACGATATTAATTATTGCTCAGTCAAACCCTAACCACCAATGGAATTTATTATGGTGAAATCAAGTCAAAGTTTTCAAGAATTTGACTCATTATTATTTGCATGTACCATAAGTAAATGTGATTAATGGGTCCAATGGTTTAGGTGAAACCCTTTTTCCAAAAGTCAAATTAATCATTAAAATCTCTACTTTTTCTTGTCACAGAGAAGATGTTGTGAATGTCCATTAATAAACAAAATTACAATCATTAATGCATTGTACTGTAGACGAAGAATCGTGGGAGGATAGGAGTTAAAGGTGAGAAGTGTAAGAAGAGATTTGGAATATTGATCACTTTTAATCTCAAAACAACCCATGAATTACGCTTTATAAGGGAATTGATCTAATGTATCTCATTAATGTTGGATTCAGTAGGGCTCTTCAATTATGATTGATCCAAGGGTAAAGATTTATTCTTACCCATCTCACTATTATTGTTAATAAACAAATATGAAAACATGGATAAGATGTTACTTTTTAAAGAAAATACGTAATCTTGGTTTGAAAAACTTGATAAGTGTTGTACTTTTACTCGAAGTTATAACAGTTTTGTAGTAGCCAGTGGCCATATCTCTCGTGCTTGTTATGTCACTTTAGAACTTATATCTTTTAAGTAATCTTTAACAAAAAAAAAAAAAAAAACAATTTACTTCATCCAAAATAATTCAAAAAAAAAATTTGTTTAACGTGGATATACAACCCGCTATGCGAGCCGACTAATCTCAGGGCGACTACCTGTTTTGCAAATAGTCCAGAGTCATCGCATTTGAACATCCGTGGCCACTAGGAGATTTTTATTCCTCCTTGGATTTGAACCTGGGACCTCCTGGTACTTTTGACCTTTGGAGTCAAGCTCAAACCAATCAGACACCACCCTTATGGTTAAAAAAAATTGGGGTTGTGCCATTATGTTGTTGTTTATGGGGATTGCCTCAAGTCTCTCTCGGTGGTGTAGGCGTTGGGGTTTTATTTGCTGGTTTCTTGTTGTGTTTTGGTTTTGTTGTCAGTTTTAGCTTCGGTTGATGCTGCTTCTCGAAGAACTTGTGTT